TCTCATGTCTTTGAAATTTATATGGCCAACTCTGTAATGTCATATTCATTCATCTCTGTTGGCTGCAGTTGCAAGGAACTTATGCTCCATCGCATTAAGTTCAATCTTGAAGGTTCTATTCTGAGACATTGGGGCCTTCGAGATTAACCTACCACCTGAGTCGAGAACTCTCATCATCTTGTCTTTAATCGACACTTTGTAATTCTTTTCGACCAACTGCCCTATACTGAGCAAGTTGCTCTTCATGCCTGGTATGTACAACACATTGAAAATTATTGATCTCTTGCCATCTTTTCTCATAATCAGAACATAACAAATACCTTCAGCTGCTAGAGTATTATTGTTTGCAAATTTCACCATGTTCTTCATTGAGGGGTTTATGTTGACAAACCAATCTTTCTTTCTAGACATGTGTGTTGAGCATCCTGAGTTCAATTACTATTGGTCCTGAAATCTTTCTTCATCTCTTGTTGTGTCCATCAGCAACATCTCTTCTTCTTCATGTTTCACCAGCGTTTTATTTATAAAAAAAATTGAAAATTGTTGTTTGATTATTGGGGGTTGTGATATACTTCTTTTATAAGAATATTATATTTACTCTAATTCAATTTTGATTTACTTTTGAAAATGTTTTTTATAGTAAAAGTTTCTATAATAATTGGTTTTAGTCCTCCTATAATGTTATTTTCATGTCACATCGTGTGGTCATAGTTTTGACTATTTTACAAGGTAACATACTCTTTCTAACAATTTGTAATTTCAGGTACCCTTGTGCTTCAATTTTTACAATACAATGGTAGTAGTAGACTGTTGTGAGAAAAGTCTGCGATTTTCTGATACAACATGCTAACACTAAATTCAACTTCATCATAGATTCTGGAGAGTACATCTGCCAATATTTTGTATTTTATTTGGTTTGAATGGAGAAAGATAAAGTTTTATTCCATTCATTACAATGAACTTATTCATCTTCAAATAGTGTATAATTAAGTTTTTCTTGTTGTGCTGGCTTCCTGAGTGGTATACCATATCTTAACTTCTCTTCCATTAATTAGTTTTATAGGTTGTCAATCACAGGTTGTCATTGTAATCACTTTGGTTTATTAGTCATTATAAATTACCAAATAAGGTCTTCAGTGTAATCCTTCTAAATTACTATTCATAAAAAATCGCCAATTAAGATCATCACTATAATTCTTCCAAATTATTATACTCAAAATTATGATTTAAAACAATTTTAATCATTTTTCATCAAAAATACAAAGTTATGTTATTACCCAAACCCCTAACTCATAAATTTTTTCCAGGGAAGCTGAAAAATACCTCAAACCCCTCAATTCTCAAAGATAACTATAGAGTACCCCAAAAACTCCAAGGGTAAAGGTTCACATGTGATAACTCTACTAAATATAAAGTCGGGTAGTCATACTCAAATTACTCAAAATTGACCTTAAGGTCGCCGAAAGGGTTTTAACATCAAATGTTGCTCAAAATAAAATCACCGAAAGACGCTCGAACTCGAAAAATGCTCGAAGACCCAAAAATCACCGCCAAACTATCGACCTCTCGCCGTCGCCGACACCGTTGGAACGCGACATAGCACCACCGGTCGTTGTCGTGTGGCTCGATCTAAAAGACATCCATTACACAAAGACTATGGGTACTTGATTGAGAAAGTCCAAAACAGGCTTACTAACCAAAAAAAGAAATCAATTGTCATTTGATGGTCGTGTCACTCTTGCTAAAGTTGTGATTGAAGCTCTTCCTCCTTATAGTATGATGACATCTGGTATATCTAAGGCGTGTATCAAGGAGATTCAACAATTACAAATGGCATTTATTTGGGGTGACAGTAACGAGAAGCATAATATGCATACTATTCAGTGGACTGAGATTGCCTTGCCTAAGACTCAAAGTGGTTTGGGCATTAAGATGTTTGGGCTTATGAATAAAGCTTGCCTTGCTAAGCTTGGTTGGTAGCTGAATAGTGGTAAACAAACTCTATGGTGCGATGTTATGTAAAATAAATAAATTACTCATAGGAAACAAACTAGTAGCATTGAGGCCAATGCCACTGATACTAGCCTTTGAAAACAAATAGTCAAGTTGTGGCCCTAATTAGATAGTATGACATTATGGGAAGTGGGGAATGACAACAATATAAGGGTGTGAGGGGATGCTTGGATAGCAAAATTCGAAGCTGATTTCTAAGTTGCAGAATCAGAACTGCATAATGGGTCCAAACGCCAAAGTGGGTGATCATAATAGGGATTGGAATTGGAACCTTCTGCCAGCCTTGTTTCACAATGATACTTTGGATAAAATTAAAGCTATCCACCCCCCTATTCTAAATTCTAGGGTGACTGATATGAGTACATTAGGGGGGGGGGGAGGGTGTCTGATAGTGGGTCCTTCACTATTGCTTTTATGTATAAGCAACTTTCTCCTTCTGTCAACAAAAACGTGAACAATAATATGAATGGTTGGGATGACATTTGGAAGCTTCAGGTCCCATAGTGCACTCGTCATTTCATTTGGAAGTTATGTCATAACGACCTCATCACAAATAAGTATCTCGGTCATGGCCAATTGAGGAATGCTTACTGTGATGTTTGTAGGAATCAGGAGGAAACTATTCTTCATACTTCGAGAGATTGTTCCATTGCTAAACAGGTGTGAACTCAGCTTGTTAGTAACACTAATAAGTAGAGTTTTTTCCAAATTGAGTTAGGGGATTGGCTCCAAAGCAATATACAAAACAATCATAATGTTAGGCACAATTATTGGGGGGGTGGGCGGGGAGCACTTTGGGCCTTTGCATGGCATATTATCTAGTTTTGGCGAAATTAAAGGATTCACAAACCCAACTTCATCATGCAAACCAATATTGTTAGAAGTATCACTGGTATGGTGCATCAGTATGGTGAGTACAAGAATTTAAAGCACTGATTGGTTCCATCCACTTCTTTCTCTATTCTGGTTCAATGGAGGCCTTCCGAGGGAGATTGGATTTGCCTGAATGATGATGAGGCTTCCATACACGATAGTTTGGTGGGTCATGAGGGCCTTTTACGTAACAATAATGGTAATTAGATTAGGGGCTTCAGTAAGAATCTTGGTAAAAGCAGCACCGTCTATGCAAGGCTTTGGGGTGTGTGAGATTTTGGATCGAACTCTAATATGGTCAAAGGGTAACTTATTGGTTCGACAATTCGAAAGAATCTTAGTATGTCGTCGAAGCCTATTCATATGTTGTAGTCGAAGTATGCTATGAGTGTTAGCATATCGAATTGGACATTGGTTTTAAGCCCAATTGTTTAAATTAGCTTGTTCCCTAAGTTAGCTTGTGTAAGGGCCTGCGCGTAAATGCCCATTAGGTTAGTATGTTATTTTTCTTATAAATAGCATGTCAATCTCTCATCTTTGGGGTGTGGTGCAAATCCTAATTAGGGTGAGAGAGTTTAATTGTTGGTATTCACTTGTAATCTTTGAACCCTTATTGAGAAAGTAAATAGTAAAACATTTTTAACAAATTCTCTATTCTTTTTCTTCCTTCTTCTCTCCCTTTTGTAAAACCTAATAGGATTCTTGTGTTTGTTCAAGAAACTCAAATCTTTTTCTCATATTTTGGTTTATTTTTGACGACATCAATTCACAACAAACTGGTGCGGTGAACGTGGAGGAAAATATGTCGTCAACAAAGTATGAGATTGAGAAATTCACCGGCGTGAATGATTTTAATTTGTGGCGCTTGAAGATGCAAGCTCTTCTTGTTCAACAGCATTTGTTAAGGATCAGAGAAGATCAACGCTGCCTTATCAGAGAAGGAGAATACATTACCAAATTGCAAGTTCTTCCACTGTATGTAGTTGATAAAGCTACATGAAGAAAGCTAGTTTGTTCCCTTTATGTTATAAAGTTTATTCCAAGGTGGAGATTTGTGAGATATTGCAGCGAACTCTAGTATGGTCGAAGGCTAGCTTCTTGGTTCAACAATTCGAAAGAATCTTAGCCTGTACTCGAAGTTTGTTCACATGTTGTAGTCGAAGTATGCTACGAGTGTTAGCATGTCGAATTAGACCTTGGTTGTAAGCCCAATTATTTAAGTTAGTTTGTCCCCTAAGTTAGCTTGTGTAATGAGTCTGTGTCTAAAAGCTCATTAGCTTAGTATGTTAGTTTCCTTATAAATAGCATGCTAGTCTCTCATCTTTGGAGTGTGGTGCAAATCTTAATTAGGGTGAGAGAGATTAATTGCTGCTATTCTTCTTGGAGTGTGGTACAAATCTTTGAACCTTTATTGAGAAAGTGAATAGTAAATCAGTTTTAACTAATTTTCTATTCTTCTTCTTCCTTCTTCTTTCCCTTTTGTAAAATCTAATAGGGTTTTTTGTGTTTGTTCAAAAAACTAAAATCTTTTTCTCATATTTTGGTTTGTTTTTGACGACGTCAATTCACAATATGGCGTTTTAGCAGACCTTCAACTTACTCTGCGCAAAGGTGTCAAAAACTTAAGATCCAAATTGACAACTCTAGGGTGGTTTCTATGCTGCAGGTGTCTAACACGATGTCTCGCTCTAGTTATAATATTATTGCATTACATTTAACACCTTAACAATAATTTTAAATAGATTAAATTTGAGCATATTTATTGTAAATTGAATAGTAGTGTAGATTTGTTGGCAAAGGAAGGTTGCAATAATATTAGCAAGATTTATGAAGTTAATCTTACGTGACTTCAACCTCTAATTAAAGAGCATCTTTATGTTTCTTTTGTAAGACAAATTAGTTACTTTATGTATTAGTTTTGAACTTTTGCCCTCCTATTTAAAAAAACGTTAAACATAGCAAACAAAATTTTGTGATAAAATACTAAAAATAAATAAATAATACAAAACATTATTCCAACACATGGTAAAATGGTAATTAAACTGTAAAACCTGAATAGTGGTGAAGAAGCGAGGAAGAGCACTCATAGAAAGAACTGTGTTTGAAGAAGGAGGATGAAGTCTGCGCTTACCGCTTCTAACACTAACAGCTGGAACCGCTGCTTCATTCACCCAACCACCAACAAACCCTTCTCCTTCTCTCTCTCCAACACCAATTTCCGCACACGCTGTTCAATCTCCATGGCCAACACCATCAAAACCCACCACTTATCAAACCTCACTCACACCGAACTTCTCTCCCTTAAATCTCGTCCTCGAATTGATTTCACTTCCATTTTCAACGTTGTAAGTTTTCTCCCCTTAATTTTTTATTTTTCCCCAATTGGGTTTTCTTTCACTCTAAAAATCGTTCCTTTTTGTCTCTTCAGGTTAATCCCATTGTTGATGATGTTCACAATAAAGGAGATGCTGCTGTTAAACAGTTGATAGTTCTATTATATATTTGAATTTGATAACTTTTTACCCACGCTCTTGTCTAATTTGCCCTTTTTAACTTCAATTTTTGTGTTTTTTTAGGTATACTTCAAGGTTTGATAAAGTTGATCTAGATAAGATTGTTGAACTTGTTTCTGACCTCCCAGATCCAGTGGTATACTGTTTCTTTGCAATTCTTCAACTTGTGTTGTGTTCTACTCTTATTATGATCATGTTATTTGAACATCAATTTGGGACAATGTTATAAGGGTTAATGCAATTCAATCTGTAGTTAATGTGATTACCAAGATTAGATAAGTTATTAAGTTTTTAACCATCTGTTGAACTTAATTAAACATGAGTTTGAACATTATTAGCAGTGATTTTAGGTGTTTCAACTACTTGTAGATTTGAACTTTTTTAAATTAAGATTTATCATATTTAAATTTGTGGTTAACAAAATTCTGTTGATGGTTAATAATAACTTGTGACACTTGATATATCTATTAATCAAATCTAAGATTGACCACAAGTGTGAGCCGCGTTACCCCCATTTAAAAAGTTGTTTTCTGTTTTTTTGCAGCTTGAACCATCTATAAAGGAAGCTTTTGATGTTGCCTACAGCAATATTTATGCATTTCATGCTGCTCAGAAATCACCTGAGAAAAGTGTTGAGAACATGAAAGTATGTTAATGCTGATTCTCACTGTTTTATTCTGTAGTTGGAAAGGCTTGATGGTTCTAGACTGATCTGGAACTTAATTTAAGCATACCCTTATGGATTATTGTTATAATTTGAAATATTCAGTGGCTAGATATCACTATATTGCTATTGCATTAGATGTGTGTTAGGGTTTGATTTTGTGAATCTACATGCTGAAAGTAGTTGGTTGCATCATTATTTAGCATTGTTAAATAGCGGCTATGACAGTGTTTTAGCTTAGTAGAATTTAAACAAAACACTATTGTTCTATGATATCCTATTAGTTTTTAGTACAAAATGCTGTCAAATAGCAGTTACGGCAACACTCCAGCACTGCGGCGTAGCTGGATTTGAACAAAGTGCTATTTTCCAGGAACCACAAATGACAACACTGGTATTCTTGGAATAAGTACATATATAGTACTAAAAAGATCAAATCAGTTGGTTATTTGTCCAGTTGTGATCATATGTCTTCTGAATTCTCATTTTTTCTATGTATTTAATTTGTTCTTTATTTAATTACCATGCTTGCTTGTTCATTAATTGTTCTTAGTGTTCCCAATAATATCTTATTTATGTGAGTCTTGAGTTTTCCAAAACTTCAGGGAGTCCAATGCAAGAGAGTTGCAAGAAGTATTAATTCCGTGGGTCTTTATGTTCCAGGGGGAACTGCTGTATTGCCTTCAACAGCTTTGATGCTTGCAGTTGTAAGTTGAATGCATGTTTCGTTGCTTCTTTTCTTGTTCAATGTTCTATGATTTTGTGTCCAGATTTAGCTGAATGTACATTGTTTTCTATACCAGCCTGCACAAATTGCAGGATGTAAAACTGTTGTTCTTGCAAATCCTCCCACCCAGGATGGCTCAACATGCAAGGTATTTGTCTATATCGTATAAAATTTATACTAATAATTATGATGTAATGTTTTGTTCTTTTAAGCTTGACTAAAGTTTTTCTGCAGGAGGTGCTATATTGTGCGAAGAAGGCTGGGGTGACTCACATTCTCAAAGCTGGAGGAGCACAGGTTTGTTGCATGATAATATATTATAAAACTTTTCTGGTTTTGTAATTTGAATATATTATCCTTTTAGTTAGATTAATTTTTATGTGTCATTGCGTTATTAATTAAACAAGTATTAATTTGTCATTTTTCTCAATTGTAGGCCATATCAGCTATGGCTTGGGGAACGGAAACTTGTCCTAAGGTTCGGCTTCTCGTTTAACTCATCTTTCATATTGCCGTTACTATTTGTATTTATTGTGTTCTGCTTTATATCTTTTGTATTATTTTTATTATTTTATTTTGTATTAGTATACCACATTCTAATGAATTGCAAACTCATGATTATATATGGTCAAACTTCTCACTCCTTACTGATAAGTTAAATGTCTTGACATGTTCTTAGTTAATCGTTAACAAACAATAACACAAATCTCGCTGCTTAATGAATGCATGGTGACCAAGATACCTAAAATTGCCGGGTTAGGTGTCTGTGATAGAGACCGTGTTTCTTAGGCGAATTATAATCCTAATAACGAATAAATACCATGATCTGATTCTTTCCTTTTAACAGTATTTATAGTTCATATATTTTTCTATCATTTCTAATTGTGAATTTGTGATAAACTTTTACAGGTTGAGAAGATTTTTGGCCCTGGAAATCAATATGTCACAGCTGCAAAAATGATACTTCAAGTAAGTGTGTTTGTATTTTACATTTGAATCTCTTGATTTGTATCCACATCCTCTATTGCATTTCATTAGTTGAATCTAAAGTGTCCTTCCATTTTCTTTTCTTTTCTTTTCTTTTTATTTTAATTCTTTCTGCAGAACAGTGAAGCCATGGTTTCAATCGACATGCCGGCCGGTCCATCTGAAGTTTTAGTCATTGCAGACAAGCACGCAATTCCATCTCATGTAGCTGCTGATTTGCTTTCCCAGGTTTAATGAGTTCTTACTCTACTATTTGGTTTATAAACACTGTTCACTAACTTATTTTCACAATAAAACTTGTTATCTTTTTCATCCTCTTAGAAAACTATACTCGTACTTTAGTGTAGTTTATAGATTATTCTAAAAGCTTCTATCTCCATTTTCTACTTTATGATTCCATAATTTAATATAGGATCCTAGTACTTGTCACATATGCATCATAGAAATTAATTTAAGCTTGATCACTAATCTCTAGAAAACAACCAAATTTATAAACCAAGGAGACATGCTTCATGTTCATCACCACCATCCTGTCAAATTTTAACTTGAGACGATAAATTTACCACTTATTGTTCTGCCTACACAGCCAAGTTGATTCCTTATCTTTTCGGCTTCCTTGTCTATTTCTGATATCTTAAAAACTAATTTATGATTTCAGGCTGAGCATGGCCCTGATAGTCAGGTTGTTCTCGTGATTGCTGGAGATGGTGTGGATCAGAGTGCAATTCAGGAGGAACTCAGCAAACAGTGTCAGAGTCTTCCAAGAGGCGAATTTGCCGCGAAAGCACTAAGTCACAGTTTTATCGTGCATGCACGTGATATGCTTGAGGTCAGTCCTTAAGTTCAAGTTTATGTCTTTGAGCACTAAAAGCATGTTGATGTGTTAGGCTTTGTTTTGATAAGTAGCTTAATTAAACACTTATTACATAATCACTTATTGTATAAGTGCTTATGTATAAGTTTTCTATAATAAAAGATAAAACAAAGTCAAAGTTTTTCATATAAGCTATTAGTTGTTTTCATAAGCTATCACAGAGAGCTTATGAAGATAAGCTGAAAATAGTTTATAGACGCGTCATAAGCTATTTTCATAAGCTCTCGAGCAATCTCACAAGTGCTTATGCTAGTGGGTAGCCGAGCTATATAGGATCAGCCGAGTAATACAATATAAAAACACGTGCTACAATAAAGTTATCTATTGGTATAGTTCCTTACTACCTTTGGAGGAGTTTAAAATTATCGCTCTATTTTTGTTTGTTTACAATCAATGAAACAGTTTATACTTTAAAGTACTACGTCTTTGGCTTGTTAAGTCTCAATCTGTCAGCATCTATATTGGAGTTTCAGAAGTAAAAGTTACTTTTGCATCTTCTAGGCCATCACTTTCTCAAACATGTATGCACCCGAGCATTTAATCATCAATGTGAAAGACGCAGAGAAGTGGGAGAGTTTTATCGAGAATGCAGGTAATGCAGTCTATGTATTCTTCTTTTCTTGGTGCCTTTTGTGCTTCTGCATTCTGAATTCTTGTTAGATAACCACAAAATGTCTCCTTGACGATTCAATTGATTTTGCAGGTTCTGTGTTTTTAGGGCCGTGGACACCGGAGAGTGTCGGTGATTACGCAAGTGGGACAAACCACGTCCTTCCCACTTATGGATATGCAAGAATGTATAGCGGTGTGTCATTGGACTCTTTCCTCAAGTACATAACTGTGCAGTCTCTCACAGAGGAAGGTCTAAGAAAACTTGGACCATATGTAGAGACCATGGCTGAAGTTGAAGGACTCGAAGCACACAAGCGAGCTGTTACTTTGAGACTTCAAGACATAGAAGCAAGACAGGTTTCAAGATAATTCCATCAATCCTTTGTAAGCTGTTATTAGCTCTAAATTTATGCCAACTTTTGAGCCATTTTGATTTATGATATTACCTAGATGGCTAGATTTATGTAACATTAGTAGCTAAGCAGTTGTCATTCTACATCTTTGTAACAATAGCTGCATTTATAAACTATGATAATAAATAGTAATGTCTACTTGGTCACTCACTCTTTGGTTATTAGTGCATCTAAATATGAATGCTTCATAGAAACGGTGAATGGAGTCATTTCTTCCAACAAATTCACTCAAATCAAGGCTAGTTTATTTTGCAATGGTATGAATACCAGTATCTTTAACATGTACAATGCACAAGTAGATGTGGTTTGTGTGAACACTAAAAATTCAACAATCTGATCTAAACCGATTAATTTGGTCCAAACCTGCCTTTTCTCCCCATGTTCCTGAGTCAAAGGCAAGTCCGAACTCATTTTGAGTAATGAGTTCCAACTTTTGTTCATTCTCATTTTATTGTTATAAACTAGGAGAATATCCGTGCAATTAACTTCGAATTATATAGATTATAATTTTTAATATATCTATGAAATGCAAAAATGAATCTAGAAAGTGTAAAAGGAACATGTCTTGATTTGATTGGTCTTACTTCGAATTAACTTCAACATGTCTTGCACACCAAAAAAATAAAGGTTACAAAAGGAACACGAATCTCCAATTTGGCATTTATAATTTCACCTGAAAACAAAATAATTTAAGTTATATAACAAAAACAATCCTATATTGAATTTAAAACTTTATGTTAGTGAATAATTTGAATGATATACATATTAAATATTGTGAAAAACCTTCTTAAATATAACGTTAGTGGTACTTGTTGCAATGTTGTTTTTGTCATGAATTAAAAATTTAAGACTTTTTTTAATCTTAACTCGAGACATTGCGATATATAGTTGACCATGACTAAAAACAGCAGTTGGTAGGTATAAATCAATATTGTCTAAAGATTGCCCTTGAGATTTATTAATTGTCATAGCAAAAAAAAAAAAAGGAGAATTGTCTTCTTGACAACTTAAATGGACATGGTGATTGTGACGGGGACAAAGTCATTCTAAAAATATAAATGATGTTATCTAAATTCTTCTCAGAAATGATCTTAGTTTTAATGACATGATTAACAAACCTTGTTACAGTTAGTCTTGTTCCATTGCATAAGCCTTCAGATTGATCTAAGTTATGCATCAACATAATAGTGACACCAACCTTCAATTTGATAGAATGATTAGGTAAATCAAAAGTTTTTAGAGCATTTAGAAATTCAGAAGTCAAGTGCTCAAAAACATCAAAGTTTGTAGCTGCATATCTATCAATAGAATCAATACTAAAGTAATCTTTTTCTTCTCCCGTAAAGTTAAAACAACATAGCAATGTAAAAAAATAAAATAATGCAAAGTATAGTGCAAGTATAGTATTATCATTAAAATAATGAAACAACATGTTTAGTACTTGGAAGAAGATTTGTAATGTATTGATTAATGTCATCGACAACCTCAAATGTTGAAGTCAATATTGCGTGACTTTGTAGATAATTGGGATCATGATAGCTACGAATGAGATCGGGATAGGTACTCTGAACAATAACCTCAATAGGATGTGCAAAATTAAAAATTAAAAACTCATCAGGAATTGAAAGGTCAACATAATCATCGTTAGACTCAAACATGGTACCATCCCCAATTTTCAATATCCACTCTGAAATAAATGCAAACCTTCTCTTTGTCAGAAGTATTTGTACCATTTCGTAGGTGCATGTTTTTTGTAAGCTTGAGGACTTTGCACTCATCCTAAATATAAGAAGCATTGATTGTTGCATGAATAATATCAGATATACTATCTCTCGGGACAACGAGCATAATTTGTCTAAAATCACCACCAAAAGCTACTACTTTGCCTCCAAAAAGCTTCTTAGAAGTTTGAGAAATTTCACTCATAATGTCTTCCAAAGACTTATTAAGAGCCTTAAAGCAAAACCTGTTTGCCATTAGAGCCTCATCTCATATAAAAAGATCTGTCAACTTTAAAAGCTCATGAAGATCATCCTTTTTGTCAATGTTGCAAATTGAAGATTCTAAAGTAGGGACAAGAATCTTAAACCTTGAATGAGTTGTTCTTCCACCTGATAACAACAAACCTGCAACTGCCAAAGTGTTCCACATAAATTTTTTACTTGTTCCACCATAACCATATAAAAAAACACTCCACTATTTTGTCTTTCTACAGCTTCCATGATTTCAACATAAATGTGTTTTTGTTCTCCTATAAATACCATTGTTGTGACAATATATTTAGTATGACATTTAGAATTAAAACAGTATATAAAAATAAATGAAATAAGACATTGGGAAGTAAATGAAAATGAAGCAAAGTTTGATATTTAGAGCGTTATAGCATAATGACATATAGAATAAGTAATATATTTAACAAAGTCACAAATGTTGACATGATTTATATGTCTTTAAATTTGTATGTAAGATGGACAATTACCTGTAAGAGATGAGTACAAATCATTGAAAATTGTTTCTTGAGCAATTGGATCATAATGCCTCTCTTCATGAATCAACTGATTTTCAACAGAAGAAAGTACAAAGTCATTTGGATACGACATTGGTTTGAAGTCTTTCAAACTTTTGTTATTCTTTTGTAACTGAGTTTCTACTGCAATAAGGTGAGTTGTTTTATTTCTTCATCAGTAAGTGTTAATCCTTTGATAGAAAAAGGAAGAAACTATAACTAACAAATTGAAATTTATAATAGAATTAGCCTTGCAAATAAGTTTTCATAAAAAGTGTACTTGAGTTTCTGGTCAAAACACGTTTTTTGTAAAGCATACCATCAAATAAGTATTGCCATGTATTACTCCAAACATGCTCTGGTCTATTCATTGATGAGGATTACAACGTAGTAACAAATAACTTCCTTAAAAGAACACCAGACCCTCAAACATGCGTCTCTTTTATAGCCTTAATAAATTCTCTATCATCTTGTAGAAACCCCATAGCAAAGCATGCTTCTCTAAAAGTTTGATGTTGAAAACCATCAAATTTTTATGTCTTCATACTTATTGGTCCTTTCTTGACAGTCAACATCATCCTTAAATAATATAGTTCGTCTGTGCTTTGATGTACCCAAATAAGATGACCAATAGTATACCCTCTCTTCCTAGGCTTCCAAGTTCTACTCTGTTTATGATAAACAAATTTAGAGACAAAGTCACCATATGTAAACAACTTAGCTTCATCATAGATTTTGCTTGCCTCAAGCCATGCTGTAAACATAGATTCGGTAACACTTGGTTTGAGTAAAACATTTTCAGTTTGCTCAAAGTCTTTGTAGTAAACATAATTCTCTCCTTCCATGTGAAAAAATAATCTCTTTACAATTGGTTTCCTATGTGTATAGAATATTAAAAAAAATCCTCCAACATGCCTCACTTGGGGAGATGTAATGACAATCTAAATATTGTTTGATTTCATCAATGTTCTTCTTCTCACCGATTGCATTATCATCACAAGAATGAATAGCAGCAGAAATTCTATCAGAACCTTTGTTGATATATTTGAATAAGTATTTGATAGAAGTACTCTGATTGCACCATTTCATGTTGATGTGTGCTTCATACTTCAATAATAAACTTGGATTGTGAAGAACTACACGAACCCTATGAAGGATGGTTCCATTTTTTTAATTGTGTGTTCATTGTCTCTTCCCCTAGAAACCGGATAGCCATCTTGATCAACTAAAGCTGTAGCCTGAAATTTCTTTGGGTAATACTTGGAGCATTTGCCACCTTTCATGCAAGGTGAACTTAGATTTTCCAAACCACAAGGCCATGAACCATATGAGTTTTAACCAAGTTGGATATCTTCAGCACTAATTATTCTGTCAATGTCTTCAGATCCTAGATACTTATTAGAATAATGCAAAAATAGCAGTATATGTGCATGTGCAACTCTGTCTTTTGAAAGTCAATGGTTTACATATCTAAAAAAGTGTAAGAAAATAATAAGTTACTCTAAGTAAAAACAAATTGAAAAGTAAGGTTGATAAATAAGAACTTACAAGCAACCATTTTACCTAAGACACCCTTTTTTGTCAAATCTGATAGTAGCTGGTTAAACTTAATTTTAAATATTCTTGATATCACATCAGGATGATCTTGCGGTTTAAGATGAAGTGGTCTTATTACTCTTTGGATTTCTAGCCAATTAGGATTGCAAGTGAAAGTTATAAATAAACCAGGGAACTCGGCCTTGCTACAAATAGCCATACCATCATAGTACAACTGATCCATAAACCTCCTTCCACCTACATAGGTAGAAGGCAAGAACACTCTCTTTCCTGTGGTTGATCCAAATGTATGACTTTGATCACCCTCTTCGTTTAGACTTTTGTACTTCAAAACCCTTAGTTTTGGTTGATTTTCAAAAATCCATTGTAATCTTTCCGACTCTAACATTGTGTAGCCATCAATTAAAAATTGTTGAAAAAGTCTTCTTGATGCTTATAAAGACTTTGCCTCGCTAGACTTTGAATGCAAAATGATAGCCATTCTCTTATTGTAAGTCTATTTCTCTTGTTGTCTTGGAAGATGCCTAAGTCTCTATGATCAATGTTACGCTTATAACCATCTTTTCCATAGGGGAAAATCAAAGGATACTGATAAGCCAAGTAGCTTGCATGAAGCTCATTAATTCTCTACAGTTGTCCTCCTGTAGTTTGCATGATTATACCCTCTGCTCTTTAGTGTCAAGATCACCAATCACTAAAGGAGCTACTTTTGAAACAATTGCTTGATTATATATTCTACCATCAATTGTTCTATCAGAGATGAGTTGTATATTCTACCATCAATTGTTTTATCAGAGATGAGTCTCAACTTCAAATTTTGTGTATTAGAATTAAACAACCATTGTTTGGCCATTTGAAAACACTTGACATGAGGGTTTTGTCTGTATATCATA